AAAAAATAATATTTTGTATTTTATATTAAGTGATTTTTTTATTTAATTTATCATTTTATTATAAAAATTATTTTAAATTAATATTATTTATTTATTTTTTATAATGAACAAGCTGGCTAGCGAGTCAGCTCGAACTCAAAAATAAAATTAAATTCAGATAAAATTAATGAAGCTGAAACACAAATTGGGTGACTGAGCGTACAATTTAAGATAGCTTGTGCTTATTCAGATAAATCGTTTTGCTGAAAATGTGGCCCGCATTTTGCATTTAGTGTAGATAAATGGCTAAAACACAATTTCGAAAAGATGAGAAAATTGAATTCAGATAAAATTAATGAAGCTGAAACACAAATTAGGTGACTGAGCGTGCAATTTGAGACAGCTTGTGCTTATCCAGATAAACCGCTTTGTTGAAAATGCGGCCCGCATTTCGCATTTAGTGTAGATAAACGGCTAAAACACAATTTCGAAAAGATGAGAGACTACTTTCAAAAAACGGCCGCAGCGGATAAACTGACAATACTGTGCCTAAACCTGGACTCAAAACTACACTTTAGCTCGTCATTTCCACTCCAACTTCGCTAATTAGTTTTCTATCCCTCCCATCGTAGGGTTTTTTATCACGGGCACGGAGCCACGAAAATCGCTCTTCTTTAAGGTAAAGTGCCTCAACTTTGAAAAAATATTACATCAGTACTACGCACGTAGAAGTAACGTGCGTAGCCAATGAAATCAAGCCACGACACCTCGCATGACAGAAAAAAAAACGGCGCAGTAACGCAGGTAATATTCTCCCTTGTGTTATTCATGTATTATTGCGTGTTATTCATGTGTTATTGATATGTTATTGTGTTATTATAATACCAAGAATATTCTCAGAATACAAAAACACATGATAGTAGAGTAACGTGTGTGGCCAATGAAATCACGCCACGATACCCCGCACAATACAAAAAAAAAAACGACGCAGTAACACGAGGAATATTCCCCCCCCCCCTTGTTATTCATGTGTTATTGTGTGTTATTCATGTGTTATTGATGTGTTATTGTGTTATTATAACACCAGGAATATTCTCAGGACACAATAACACATGAATACCACGCAATAACACATGAATAACACGGGGGGAATATTCCTCGTGTTACTGCGCCATTTTTTTTCTCAGTCGCGCAGGGTGTCCTGGCGTGATTTCATTGACTACGCACGTTACTCTACGTGTCTAATGTAATATTTTTTCCTCAACTTTAATGCTTCTCCTTCTTCTAGTTTGTTGGAACTCGAAATAAAAGTTTGCATTCGGGTTTTAATGCTCTATTAGCTGCGGACAGCATTAGGGCTGTTGCGCCTTTTTTTTCCCCTTATTTTTTGCTTTAATTGGCAACTCGGTTGATAATTTTATAGACTGGAATGGTTCAATGGCCGCATACGTTGTGGAATTTCATGTCCGCTTGTGAAAAGGAGGGATCGTCAATCAGGTTTGCATGCGCAACCAATACCTGTCCTTGTTCTTTTCTTGCAATAGTTTACTAATTGATTTGATCGTCGTTTTGTGACGACTTTCCTCTTGATTTTTCTGTTTGTCGCTTTAAAAAACTACCATCTATTCGTCTTTCTTCTCCTTCGTTTAATTGTCGGGCTTCTTGTGCATCTGCTATAGCTGGAGTTTGTTGTTATGCTTATTTCTTAATGTATTTTTTTTTTGGATTTTTTTGTTTTAATTCTTTGAATGGCTTGATGACTGCTGATATTCCAGCGGTTGAAGCAAAGACCGAGCACTTTGCAGATTTTTAAGACTTTATTTCAGGCTGATACTTGTAAAAGTGCAAAGCGGTTAATTCACGGTTAAGGGACTCTGGACAATCAGGGCATTTTTGTTCAACCATTGGACCAATGCCGGATCAATTATAATCTTTCAACATGTTTTAAAAGTATTTTTTTTTTTTTGAATAATAGAATGAATGAATTTTTTTTGAAAGTTTAAATGTTAGGTAAAACATGTGATATATGAGTGGTAGGCTTAATAGTTGAAGAATGGAGGGTTGAGATTGTTTTGGTTGGTGAATAATGTGTGGCGTTAATTGATTATAAATATGTATAAGTATTTCACATTCTCTTTTGGATTATACATTAACTGGGAAGTGAAAGTTTCTGAAAGAGAAAAGATGAAGAGTGAAAGAAGCATAGCTTTTAAAGAGAGTTTGTGAGTTTAAGAGTTGTATTGCTATGATTTTGACTTGAAAATTTTGAAAAAGTGGTGGAGGGACGAATGGAGGAATGATTTCCTTCCAAGTTTTGATGGTTACCAAAACCAAGTTTGAAGTATCAAATATCATCGAGAAGGCTAGAAGAATTTGTGAGTCTAAACTTTGTGTTGAACTGTAACCTCCTTGAAAACTTTCATAATTTTGGATTTAATAAAAATTTGAATGAATTTTAAATTATAAGATGATATAAAAATAATAGATATTAAATAAAACCCAAAATGTTATGGGAATACATGTAGTCTTTCTAAGTCTTCTTGATTATTTTTATTTCTTAAAATGTTCTAAAAATGATTTAAAATTCAATATAATTAAAAATGAGTCCATTATGAGAGTATTCTCAGATCATCGTTGAATGGTGAGCGGCTTACCTTGCATTTACCAGCCCGATAAATTAAATGAAGGATGTTTACTTAGAAAGTAGCATTGTAAAAATTTTCCAAATGAGTCAACTTCAGGTGTCACAAACCGCTTGAGCTTATAAGCATCGACGTGTTTTGATCCCACTAAATCTATGAATTTTGTGAGAGAAAATATTTTCTTCTATTTATTGATGACTATTTAAATAAAATATGGGTGCATTTTTTGAAGAAGAAATTATCAATTTTTGTAAATTTCAAGAATTTAATACTATTGTTGAGAAAGAAAATGACCTTAATATCAAAACTATTAGATTTGACCGAGGAGATCGGTTCATATTTAACTAATTTCAAAAGTATTATGAAAATCATGAAATTCATCATCATTTAATGATGTCAAGACCCCCCAACAAAATGAAGTGCAGAAAGGAAGAATTGAACCCTTCTTAACATGCTCAAAAGTAAGAGATTGCCCAAAAAATTTTATGCTGTAGTAGCTTGTATAATTTACTTCACAAATCACTCTCCTAAAAGAAGCGTACATGAAAAGATCATTTAAAAAACATGGAGTGGAAGGAAATAAAGAATTTCTCATCTTAAGTCTTTGTAAGCATCACATATGTCCATGTTTTGGATGAGAAAAGAAGAAAAAAGCTTTATGATACAAGTGAAAGATATGTTCATTGGTTATGAATCAAGCTCTAAAGTCTATAAACTTTATAATCCAATTAATACCAAAACTCTTGTTAGTCATATAGAGTTTGATGAAAAACATCTTTGAGATTGGAAAATATAACATGAATATTTTTCTTCTTTAGCTTGAAGAAGAATAATAAAAGAAATAAGCAAACAAGAACTATATATATATATATATATATATATATATCTAAGTAATATTTTTAATGAAATAATTTCTTATCACCATTAGCTTTATCCTAATCATATTTTGGGCTGTTATTAAACAGTCTTTTTTTGCTCGTTTTTATTGGATATTGTACTAGGTGTTAATTTTATTTTATGTAATTTTTGTTCCATAGTTTCTAGTCATGTTGGTAAGAATTGGAGATAACTGACTAATTTTTATTCCTATATTTGTCTTAAGATAATCTTTTGAGCAATAAACATTCAAACTTCAATTTAACTGTCATCTAGAGTTTCAATTTTAGCAAACTTATAGTCAAATTGACCGGTTTGATTAGACAGACCTAATGATATCAAAATTAGTCCAATCCGAGTCAAATCAAGCTCAAATCAAGTCATTACATCACTCTTATAAGATTTTCAGACACATTTAGAAGGTCAAACAAATGTCGAATCTAGCAAGTCTATAGTCAAATTGAACATCTCGACAGAACGAATTCAATGAGCCCAAGATTGCTCAATTCCGACATCATTAAGGCGCTCAAATGTCCATCATATAATGTCTGATTATCAGAATCTCTCCAGTGGTTCATATTTATGCATTAGTTGCACCTAGAACTCTATAATTAGAGCTTCACCCCTCATGAGAGGGGGAGAGCTTGAAGTCGGAAGAAGAGCTTTAGTTTTGAGGAGTTGAAGTCTAGGATCACTCAAACCACCATCGACCACGGCCCACCGTCGTCGACCGCCGTCCATCACCATCGACCACCGTTGTTCGCTGTTGACCACCTCCAGTCACCATTGACCACAGTCGACTGTCGTTAACCACCACCATAGGCCGCCGCCCACTTCTTACTATAAGTTCATTTGCACGTCAACGTTATAATTCGAAAGACCTTGTAATCATTTATCGTTTGTAGGACAAGGGGTCTCTGTAATCATCAACTTATAGGGAATTTTTACTACTGGATCAGGTCTCGTGATTTTTTTTTTCTTTTTGGGTTTTTCATGTAAAAACTCATTGTCATTATTAGTTTTTTTTCTCTTCTGCATGCATGTTGAATCTTTGTACCACGCTCAGACGATAATCTGCTACTCCATTATCCCAAATTTTCTTGCACACATCAATCCTAAAAGGGCTTCTAAGAAAAAAAATATATAAAATCAAAGACTAAATTTTTGCTATACATTTAATTACATTAGAACAACTCATGAATTGGTAGGCGATGAACTTATTGAAGGAGGAAACAGGCGTTGACTGTTGACTGGCTCGCTGTGCAACTGGTTGGAGGTGTGATGTGAGGGTAAATTGCAAGGCGCAGCGATGCGTGTGGGTTGACGACATGATGCTTACTCTTTTGGAACGCATTGAAGACTGCTACATGAATTTTATATATATCATTTATTATGTATTTACTGCACTCTATGCATATGATATGTATATAATTGTATCTTCAACATCTTTCATTATAATCATTTCTTATAACAAATTAATTCAGAAAAAAGTAATCAAGGTGTCCTTGATTAAGAGACAGTAATACGTGTAGTTAATACATAGATAATGCCACAAAAATTTTTAAATAATTCAACATATACCTGTTAGGTTATGGTCCTACACTCTCGCCTGTACAACAAAGCAACTCAGTACTTCAAAAATATACTCGATCAAAATATTCCATTTTCGTTTCTTCAGCCACAATTCCAAAGACTAGCCCCTGCCGATTCTTTTAAAAGTCTTTAAGAGTCCAAGTTCTGTCATATGAAGCAGACTCCGATAAACTACACATAGAATATCTGTCCCACATTCAGCATGCTCTCATGAGGAACATGGAGCATCTCACTGTTCTCTGTACAAACCTTCCTGAGAAATGCATATATGTAGCCAATCGCAACCCTCTTCCAGAAGCTAGAGTCCCTCCTAGCCTTAGTAATAGTGTTTCCCAGGATGTGCACCACCCCGGCAGCCCGACACTGGTTCAAGAAAGCCAGTTCATCCTCTCCATTGCGGCTCGTCGTTTCTCTCACATTGTCTGTGTAACGATCTACAGAGTCGAGCTGCGATGAATCAGTGATCTCCACAATTGAATCAGCAGTGAGAGACTCTACATCATCGGTTGTATTAAGGGTGATAGATTTTGAGGTGTTCTGCTGCCCCATATCAAGGCTCAAGTCATCAGAATCGGAATAGTCCGTCTTTGACTCGAGCCGAACGAAGACGGAGATGCTATCAAAGAGCATCTTCTCGAAGTCATCGTCTTGCTTATGAAGATCCTTGTAACCGTATCTCACGACGCAGCGGAACATGTGGAAGTTTTTGGGGCCAATTCTTCTTACGAGGACGCGTTCCTCTACCGGAACCGTATAAACGGGAAGAAACTTGACACAGACAAGGAGCACAACGGAATGGATTGCAGGAAGATTTGTAATGAGGTGGGAGAAGATGTGAGGCACACCACTAGCCAGTTCGGAGTACACGAAGCCAACTCCGGGGACACGAACAAGGCCAAGATTGGGGCCAAGGCCAAGGATCCATGCCATGGATACTTTGCTATGTTTTTCGAATTCGTAGCGTTTCATGGTCCCATAATGCCAAACATACATGATAATGAGTAATGTGGCGGCGATAACAAGAGGTACCCATCCACCTTGGTCGACTTTCAGTATTACAGAGGAGAAATATGTGAGCTCCACAGTGAGAGAAAGGCTGCCGAAGGCGAACACAAGGATCCAGTTGCTCCGCCATACCAGCAGCATGATCAAGATCATGAGTAGTGTGGTCACCATCATATCTATCACAACTGCAGTTCCTATTGTTTCATGAATTGAAATTTCTCAGTAAGAAAATTCTTAGAACACTCAAAATTATAAGGAAAAATCATGTAGCTATTGAATCCATCATAAATAGTTGTCACAGTCCCACTTGAAACATTGAAATCTTAAAAGAAAGAGGCTTCTGATGGATATATGGGATTAAAACAGCTATCCAAAAGAAGTGGGAAAGACTAGTACATAAAAAATGTGAATGTGATGGTTTGCATTGGTGCTGAATCAGTATATGCTTTTGTCTATGATTTCACACATTTTATAACTTAGCACTACAGGCAACCAGCTGAAATGCAAAATGGGAACTAAAGGAATTCAAACAAATGTTATTTACTTGGCAGAAAGCTAAATCATAAACATTCTATGTGAAATCAAAATATAATTGCAATTTAAAAACAACGAAGTCATTTAAAGAGCATAAGCAGAAGGGTTGAAATGGGAGATGCAATTGACAGGTTAGGATTCATAAGGAAATGGCAGCTATATTATGTGGAGTAAGTTTAAGAATTAGTGATGCTGGTTAAATTTGTTTGATGCATGGTCTCTTATAATCTATTAGCTGAAATGGAATAAGTAATCAATGGTTTCTAGAGGCTATCTGCCACACAATTTTAAACTAAAAACTTCGCTAAATAGGCATGTATGACATTAGTTGAAGAACAATAAAAATACAAATAAGGAAGGTTTACAAACCTACCACTCAATTCCTATGTATTTACATGTCAAACACCAAAGCTTTAATATTTACGTACATATCACCTTATCCAAGCATGAAAAGGCGTATTTCACATTTTAAAAGTTAAAATAGTGGTATTTTTTATGTGATATGAAAGATTTGAGTGGTATAAATTTAAAAAGCAAAGTTTAGGTGTAAATAAATACATAAGAATGAGGTGGTATGTATGTAAATGCCCCTAAAAACAAAGTCAGTCCTTGGGATGATATATTAATTATAATGTAGCTAAAAAAATGCATAAGCAATGAGATATCGTGTGCTTTTTAAATGAAAACAGATCATATATTAACCAAGTCATGAAATGGCTGGCTGCAGAAATACACAGCAATGAAATCACTCACTAACAGGCATCAGTTAAATAACAGTGACTAGTTTAAATTATATTTAAAATAATCAATATTCAATACTTGGACTTCTTACATGGTTAAGAACAAAACATTGAATATAAAACGTAAACTTGGCATAGCTAAAATAACCTTACCATATGCTAATCCAATTTGAGTCTTGTTTTTGAACCTGGCAGTCACCGCAACGCAGAGAACCATAAGGATCCAATTAATCGCCGGAATGTATATATGACCAAAACAGTTCTTTGAAGTGTGGACAATCTTGATTCTAGGAAAACAACCAAGTGCTACTGCCTGCTTAATGATGGAAAATGTAGCTGATATGGTGGCTTGACTAGCTATTATAGCTGCTGCTGTTGCAACAATAAACACCGGCCAATAGACAATGCCTGAAATAAAAAGGTAAGATCAAGCGTCCATGCATGCAGAAATCATCCGTGTAATTTGCCATAACTTAGTTTCTGAAGAAAATTTCAACGGTTAAGACAAAAAAAATTTCAATGTTTATGAGTTTGGCTTCATTCTACTTAAAAGATTTCACAAATCTATATCATAAAATGAATCAAAATTACTTGGAATAGATCGATAGAAAGCATCAGCAACGTGCCCTGGGTTCTGCATAATGTAAGCTGCTTGTCCACTATAAGCCAACAGAAGGCAAGGAAAAACAAGTAGAGTAAATGCAAGCTGCACAAATTAAAGGAAAAAAAAAATTATTTGCTTGTTACAGTTAAAAAATAACTTTGGAATGCCTGAATAATTTTCATTTACCTGAATGGCAAGTACAGGAAAATGACAAAGGTCTGCAAACAATGCTTCAATTCCTGAGAAATTATTTTGACAATTTAGGCATCAGATCAACCTATAAGAAGTATCGAACACATCAAATTCTAATCAAGGGAGCTAACCTGTAATACTTAGCATAATCCCTCCCAGGGAAGTCCAACCATGGGGGCCTCTCCTAAGGAAATGGAATATGCATATGGGTGAGAAGGCCTTGAGAACAGAACTGTCGTATTTCCAAATGTTAAATGCGCCAATTGATCCAATTATTATGAACCATAAGAATACGATAGTAGCAAAAAGCCAAGAAACTCGATCGATTCCATAACGTTGCAGGCTGAACAATCCGATCAAGATGATAACAGCAACAAGTATGACCACATCTTGTTTAAAGGAAAAAAAAAACAAATTTGATAGATGAAACAAAATGCAACAAAAAGGAAGATAGATAGTGCTTCTGTATATGAATTTTAGTTTAAACTCATAAAGTAATAAATTTTTTGGTTAACGAACCAACTTCAAACTTATTTATGGCTTTTGTACCATGAGTTTAGAGTCACTGTTTGTTCCTGCTATTAGTTACTTTTGTTGTTGAACTTCCATGATGTAGAAATGAGGTGAAGTATAGAGAAACCCGACTAGGTTCACCATTCATACTTTATAATCATTATTAAAAAAAAGGCCATTTACATACCACCCAATTCTTATGTATTTACATATATTACAGCTAAACTTTGATTTTTAGATTTATTACACTTTGGTGTTAAAACTTATGTATGAAAAGGTGTATTCCATTTTTAAAAAGTTAGTAATACTATTATTTTTATATAATGTTAAAGATTTGAGCAGCATGTATGTAAATATGAAAGTATAGATATTAGATATGTAGATATATAATAATTGAGTGGTACATAGAGTTTGGGAAGGGGCTGATACATGCAGTTTAAAGCATGTATTTGCAAACTTCATAATATGCTATAGATAAATACACCAAAACTACTCTGGCACCTATATATGTATGTATATATATATATATATATATATATCTATATATATATGTATGTATATATATATATATATATATATATCTATATATATATGTATGTATATATATATATATATATATATATCTATATATATATGTATGTATATATATATGTATATGTATATATATATATATATTGGGTGAGATCTAAAACGTACTTGAGCATTATTCTTTCAAGGTTGAAAAAAATACTAGAATTTGTGGTATAATTCTTTTCTTGTTTTTTTTTTTTTTTAGCATTTATGTTAGTTAAACATGCACACATAAGAAAGTGTATAAAGCATAAGGTTGCTGAGTTTAAGCAGATACCAGTACTCATCTTGGGGTGATTCACCTTGATCCCACCAGCTGCTGATAGAACTGCAAGGATATAGAGCTATCGTAGAGTTAGAAAATGAAGTACGACACCAAAAAATGCACTAAAATAATAAAAATATTTAAGTTAAATCACAAAACGGTCCCTTGATTATTTGAATGTGATAAATTTAGTCTCAAATTTTTGATTACATACATTTAATCATCGAACTATTGAAAACTGATCTCAATTAGTCCCTTATGGACTAAATTGAAATCAATTTTGTAGAGTCGAGCGACTAATTGGGACCATTATCGTGTCATAATTGATTAAACTCATGCTTCTATAACTTGTATTTATTTCTTAATCTTCAACTCCCACCCTCTTACTACGTTACCATAATTTCTTCCAAGTCCAATAGGCAAGGTGTGAAAATTTGTGTGCATGCTTGGCATTTGTCAAATTTGATAAAATACGAATTTTCATTTTTATATTGTGAAACTTGAAACAATTGTATTGATTCTCAGTTTTCTTTTGGAGTTTCAAATTTTGGCAACTTATAATTTTTTGTTTGAAATAAATGTGGTTGTACTTTCTAATTTTGCGTCACAAAAGACTAATCTTTACATATATTAAACATTTGAAAATTGCAAATTGTAGCCTTTTCTTCAGGTTTTTTTTTGTTTTTTTGTAGTTTTTTGATACTAGACCCTAACAAGTTCTGCATCGAGCTTGAATTGAAGGCATTGATGGCTATATAATGCTAATTTTCAAACTATACTATGACATAAAAAAGTGTTAGGATAACGAAATCAAGCATTTGAAGCCTAAGAGATTAAAGCCTTCCTCCAATATTGAGATTAAAACAGCCTCATGGTTACCACAATTAATTCAAGCAAATCTTCTTTAAGTCAAAAGAAACTCATAGAATCTCCATTTGAATCAAAGAAAGGTAAGTTTAATATGATAGAAAGACACTTCAATCATCTCATTAATGTCTTCGTCAAAGGAAACGATAGTTCATAATCAAAATGATAAAATAAAATGAAAACCTGATATAGCTGGAGTAAGAATTCCATCTCCAATCATCATACACGTTCCAATAAGGACAAGAAAAAGAATCACATTCTTATTAATTCCATATGACTCGAGCCAACACTTGACCTTTCTCGCTAGCGAGTTCTCCTCAAATGTCCGGCGGCTATATGTTGTCAACTCTTCATCTGTATGATGCTGGTTTGCTATGGTTTTAATGTTTGCGTGTCTGCAGAGTAGAGAGTAAAGAGCGAAGGTTCCACCTACAATCTTACAGAGACGAGTTAGGATTAAGTTTAAATAGCTTCTAACCCAGCATAAATATGGCTTTCTGTTGATATATAATCTTACTAATCCCTCACTTCTAAATTAATATATCAAATAAAAAGGATGAAAACTTGTTCTCCAATTTAGTGCAATTTACAGTAAATGGTCTGAGGAGGACATTTACAGAGTCTTGGCCTTGTATCTCATATATGGATCACTATGGATATAAGCTAATCTCTACTTCTTGGCAGCCCTCTAATTAGCAAATCGGTGCCAGAATAAAAAAATAAAGGAAGATCTGCAAACACACCACTCAATTCTTATGTGTCCACATATCTAAAACACCTAAAATTCATTTTTTACATATAAGCCCCCTTTATCTATGCATGAAAAGGTGTATTTCACTTTTTAGAAGTTAAAATAGTGTTTTTTTATGTGATATGAAAGAGCTGGGGGTATAAATGTAAAAAAAAAGATTGAAATGTTAGATATGTAATTTCATAAGAATTGGGCGGTATGTATGTAAATGGCCCAAAATTAAATTTAGTAAAGCATTAAAAAAATAACAAGAGGAAGAAGAACTGCATTAGGCAATTTGAGTTTAAGCTGAAAGAAAGTAAATGTCCTGTCAAACAATAATATACTTGAGGTGACAAAATACTATATCCAAAACCTGGCGAAAAATGCAAATCTAAAACCACAAAATAGCTATTTTTTTTTCTAACTGATTATTTTCTGCAGTACATTGATATTTCAATGCTGTTAAAACATTGACCCTCAGCTGTAATATTGTGTACCAGAAAATATCCAGAAAATATGAATTTTATTGGTCAACTCTACTAGTATCTTCATTTTGACATCACTGTCAAACTTGATGAATTAACATTTATCATAAAAGTGATCAATGAAATGACAATAGTACTGAAAATCTAGCTCATCTTGCATTGCACATTTAGAAATCACATCTTGGAGAATTCATTCAACCAGGGAAAAAAACATGAAATCTTCAACTTCAATGTTTCCATCTAACAACCTATAAATGCTTAATAAAATTCAAGACCCAAAAAAAAAATGAAGATTTACATACATACCACTCCATTTTTGTGTATTTACATCTCTCTTATTTATACTTCAATTTTTACATACATATCAGCTTACGTATGTATGAAAAAGTGTATTTAACTTTTAAAAGTTAACATGACAGGTATTTTTATGTGAAGATGATATGTAACATTTGGGCCGTATAAATGTAAAAAGTTAAATTTTGGTGTTAGATATGTAAATACATGCGAATTTGGTGGGCCCCAAAAAAATGATAATAAAAATCTTACCCTGCCCATTATCATTAGCCCTCAATACCACCAGTACATATTTGAGGAGAGCAATGAGAGTAAGCGAGTATATAATCAGAGAAAGAGCCCCAATTACATCATCTTCATGTTTCAGTCCATGAGGAAATGTGTTGTAGAAAACATACAAAGGGGATGTACCCAAATCGCCAAACGCCAAACCTAAACTCTGGAACGCAAGCTGCATGATCAACAATGATGATGATTTCTGCAAGGAATAAAACAACATTTCCGCACATTATTTATTTGCATCATTAATTCCAGACAAATTCAGAAATAAAAATTGGTCTACAATAAATATTAAACATCAAAAGATCAATGTCAATTAGGGGTGTAAATGAGTCAACTTGAGCTCAAGCCACCCTTGGCTTGATCTTGAGCTTGATTAATAAATCGACTTCGAGCCCAAAAACTGTTTTGTCAAGCCAACATCTAGCCTCATGCTTTTGACACGCTCCATGATTGTTCCGTTCATGCATTCAAGTACACCATTCTGCTGCGGTGTCCTTGGGATAACGAACTCATGCTTAGCCCCCTCTGTAGCACAGAAATTCCAGAACTTCTGATCACGGTACTCGCCACCATTATCTGATCTGAGACATTTCAGCTTCAAGTCTGTCTCATTTTTTATCATAATCTTCCATTTTCTAAAGGCTTCAAATACATCAGATTTCTGCTTTAAGAAATAAAACCATAAATTTCTCGTGTGATCATCAATGAACATGACGAAATAGTGAGAATCTATAATGGACTGAACTAGAGTAGGACCTCATACGTCAATATGCACTAACTATAGTTTCTTTGATTTCACTACTGACCAGCCCTTGGAGAAAGAAACTTTCTTTTGCTTGTCAAAAATACAATCTCCACAGAATCCAAATCAACTAATTTCATACACTAAAGCTTATTTTTCGAAAGTACGAATTTCATACCTCTCTCACTCGTATGGCCAAGCCTATGGTGCCATAGACCTACATCCACCCTCGTTCCGGGCACATCAAAGTGACAAGTATGATTTTTTTTATGCAACAAATCCTCCGCATGCATATTCCAGAATGCAAAGTTTGTTCCATTGAACTTCTTCATTTTGAAACTTGCTTCTTCGGTCATTGTTTCTACTTGAATTGAATCTCATTCTTCGGTCATTGTTTCCACTTGTGTGATCATCAATGAACATGACGAAATAGTGAGAATCTACAATGGATTGAACTGGAGTAGGACTCATACGTCAATATGCATTAACTATAATTTCTTTGATTTCACTACTAACCCGTTTTTGGAGAAAGAAACTTTCTTCTACTTTTCATAAATACAATCTCCACAGAATCCAGATTAACTGATTTCAGACACTAAAGCTTATTTTTCGAAAGTAGGAATTTCATACCTTTCTCGCTCGTATGGCCAAGCCTACGGTGTCATAGACCTACATCCACCCTCGTTTCAGCCACATTAAAGTGAAGCATAATTTTTTCTTATACAACAAATCCTCCGCTTGCATATTCCAGAATGCAAAGTTCGTTCCATTGAACTTCTCCACTTTGAACCTTGTTTCTTCAATCATTGTTTCCACTCGAATCGAATCCCGTTTTGATACTAGTTGATAGGAATATATTATATATATAGTGAATAATCCAAACTTTATCGGGGTTTAGAATCGACTAGAAACTAAACCACTCCGTGGAACAACATCACATCAATTTGATAAAAAACCGGAACAAAAATTAAAACAAAAGCACACTAAAGTAACCAGAAAAACACACAAAAATTTACGTGGAAAAACCCGAGAACGTGAAAAAACCATGAGTCACACCGCTATAAATTTTCATTACGAAATTCGAAATGTTTAACAAAGAGCTCACACAAATTTTCTCTCAACACACAAAGGAAACTTACAAGACTCGCTACACAATTTTTACTCTCCGATCTGACGCAAGAAATCCTATTGAATCACTGAAATCCACCTCTTTGACACTTTTCACCTTCACCGGGATGCTTCTTGAAGAATACCAAAGGAAGAAATAGCAAATTTTCATAAAAAAATAGCTCAAAATCGGGATTAGAAAGAAATCCCGAAAGAAATGTGACTCGAGCACTTAGACGCTTAGACCTAGGCACCAAACCCTTTATTCGATGCTCAATAATGGACGACTAGGCGCCAATAGACCTGCGCGTATGCACAGATCCCTCTGAATGTGGGCGCATATGCGCCCAAAGGCGTCGGCTCCATTGTGAGTCTCGCCCATAGCCGACACTTATGCACCAACTCCCTTGTTTTGTCTCCACACATTGTAACACTAAGTTTACAAACCATTTATCCAGCCGAACTCGAGCCGGCCTAAGTGTGCTTGTCTGAGTTACACCCCTATAGTCAATACATGTTTGCCCAGTTTCTAAAAACTGGAAACAGTGACATAAATCAGATATTTGGTCATTTTATAAATAATATTTGTCATTTTAATTACATCTAGATGCCCGAATATGTGACAGCAAAATCAAATAAATAAATAAATAAACAGTACTACATGGCATAAGTGAGTAGCGATGAACAAAACAAGCTGCATTACAAAAAGAGCAATTCGGCCTTTAAGTGAGAGCGCACCTTCTCCCTGTACAGGCTCCGTATCCTTCCAGCCTCTACATCCATGGACTGGTCAAGCTTCTGGTCGAGATCCCACATATTACCTTTAGGGATCTCCCCATTACTTGAAGCTGAGGCCATGCCACTGATGTTCGCCGGCACACTTCTAGCCCGGCGGCCACCAATGCGGCACCGGATCACAATCAAATCTCTCTTCTTCTTCTTTCTCTAACTATCTTCCCGGCAACTAACCCTCCATCATTCCTTTCTCTATCGCCGCAAGCTTCGCGGATCTTCACCCAAAAAAAGGTGAGAGAGGTTTAGGAGCCTAACGGGACGCCACGACGAATCTAGAAGCTATATTTGGAGGGGAAAAGGAGAACTGACATGTAAATATAGGGACTAAGGTCCGCAACCATGGAATGCGGCCCCTTGAGATGCGGTGGTAATGGGGTTAATTTGAATTTTTGGTTGTAATTTGTAAGGGGAACTGTAACTGAGAAGAGGCTTGAAAAGGACAGTGAGAGCGAGAGGATGCGAGGTGGCGGGGAGAGAAGGTACGGAGAATGGGGAGGGATGAGAGAGAAAGGCGGGGTGGTGAGGAGATTCATAATGTGGAGCGGCATGGGAAGAGCAGAGGAAGAAGGTAAATTGGAGGGCGTTGGCTCGAGGAGTAGGGTTTATTCGGGTATTGCGCAAGGGAGGAGGTGGGCGTGGGGAATCTCATTTTAATTTTAAAAAAAATTGGAGTATATATATTTTTTTCATGAACATAAAATTATATATAATGAACCGTGAGGGAGAGATAGATATATAATTAAATTTAGCCTTTAAATATTTCTTTTAATATATAAATAGGAGGACAAAATTGAAATTTAAGAGTTAAATTATTGAGTTTAGATTTATCCTGTGAGGCATGCCCATTATCGGAGCAGTAAAAACCGTGAGGGAGAGATAGAAAAAGAGACAAGAAGAGAGTGCACATAGACTTCTCATAGGGGTGAATGGGGTGTTTCTAAACTCTGTGATCCTTTTTATATAGTAGAAGTGGTGGTTACAAGAGAGAAGGGAAGAGAGTCTTCCCTATAGATGATGAGTCTAGAGAGAAGAGTCAAATGCCTTTAATATTTGTTATGATCCTTTTATTTATAGGAGATAGATTGACAAAATGTAAAATTACATGTTTGTCTCTACTTTAATAGGGTTTTACAGTATATTATTATCTTTTCACATGTCTAAACCTTCTGGCCGATAGGTTCTTGAGTCGGGCAACTGAGCTGGTATTGGCCAACTTTTTGTCTGAACATCGGTCGGTCTTCGGTGTGGGAAGTCAGTCGGTTTTGAGTGTGCTAGCCAATCAACATTAGGGCGGTAGATTGGCTTACCTGGGCAGTTTACCTCATCGGATTGGCTTTTCCGGGGGGGGGGGGGGGGGGGGGCTGTTGCAGTTGAAAGAGCTCCACGTTGATACTTATGAGATTGTTGGGGGCTACTAGACCTTTGGTTGGTCATCAATATGGATGTATGCTCTGGGTTGGCTTGGGTGGCCCTTTTGTTCGTCTTGACTTTCGGTCTGTCGACATCCTTCGATCAGTTGACTATCAGTTGGATAGTGATCTTCAACCGATCAGATTCATGATGCCTTGTAACTTTTCATTTGAGGAGATTCTCGTCATTTATCTTTTAATATGAATTTTTAGATTGTTCAAGATTCATGCAAACCATTTTTAGGTGTAGATATTAAGTTCTCTAATTTTCTTGCTTCTTGATAGAGATAGTTATGATGAGGACAAGAAATTTTTTAAAGCAATAAATTAAATCTTAATAATCATAATTAATTGCAATGATTAGACTCCCTGGATTTCTAGGCCCATGACTCTTATATATAGGGCGTACTGAACGGTTCTCAGTAAATTAAGTGTTTATTTTTCCTTGCATCGGTTTCTGTGTCAAACTTATGGAGAAATGATCTAGTTCGAGCCCAAACCCGTCGACCAGGTGAAGATGTTGGCTGCTCTTGAGGTAAAGAAAAACATCTGTTGGAAGGCGAACCAAGGAGAAGAAGTGGGAGAAGAAATTTGCTAAGAATCCTAAGCCATTTGAGTGTGTGGAACAGTAGGAGTTGTCAGATTCAATCTGAGAGGCTCCGGAGAAGGGTCAACCCAGTGCTGGGAAAGAGCTGGGGGGTTCAATTGCTGATCCGTCGACTAAGGCTCCTGTTGAGGTTTTGTGTCAGCTAAAGACTGTAAGTACTCAACTGAGCAGTATACTAGGATTTGGCATAGGCGACTAACCGATAGAAGAGAAAAGAGCTGTAGATGATCTTTCATTGTTAAATGTAGGTGGAGCTGCATGTTCTAAGGTTCAAAGGATTCTGAGTACGTGTTTTCATTTATGTCTTAGGATTTACTTTAATTTTTTCTTGCTTATCCATTTTTGTTCTTTGTAGATGAGGATGCTCAGATTGAGGGTTTGTCCCTTGTTGATGATGTCTGAAATCCGACTATGGAAGCAGCTCCTGTACTCCAAACGCCGACTGGAAGCGAGGAGAATGTAGTTAACCGCCAAGCTAACCCTACCAAGATCCGTGAGGATGTGAGGGAGTTGGGATGTTCCCAAAAACATTTACTCGTTGCCTTGACAAAATGGAGGTTACTCTGGCTTGACAAGAGAAGGATCTCCATGTGATGTTGATTCGACAAGAGGAGAAGCAAGAGCAAACAACTACTCTTCTTTGAGAAGTATCTGAACTCCTGGAAGATGCCTTTGTGCATAGGGACCATTCTGAGGCTGACCAAGCAAATTTCTTTAAGCTCGACTGTCAACTGTTATATATGAGATTAGTAAGAAAAGTTTTGTTCTAGCCGAGGCGGCCGATGACTAGTTTGTGAAATGCCTCCTATCAAACAAGAATATGAGTGCAATTATTTTATTATCAAAATAAAAATATTTTATTTTATTTTCTTCTTGATTTCTATGTTGATGTGATGTTTTCTCTTGGTATCTTCGTGCCACGTTTCATTTTCCAATGCGTTCCTATAAATAAGGGCTGAGGTGTTTACTTGCAAGTTTATTGTCCTTTTTCTGAGCTTTTGTCGCTCGGTTGTTTTTCTTTCTTTCGACTTTTACATTCATTCTCTGATGGCTCCAAAGTGCACCCCTCAAACTTTTGGCTTGGTAGTTGCCAAAGAACAATCGATTTTGTCCCCCATCAGATGTAGCTTTTGTGGAGGAGGCTTTTATCTTTGACTCAATTATCAGGTTTTGGGCCGCTCAACTAGATGAGGGCCACTAATCAGTTCAGCAAGGGCAACTAGATGAGGAGCTTTGAGAATAAAATGAAGGAATAAAAGTTAAAGTTCTTCATAGCCTCATCCCCGCGAATTGGGGCATTAAAAATGTACCGATCGGGAACGCCTTTAAGAGAAAGAAGGGGACAAATTATTCTCATGTCGAGGGGGCTGAAATCGACGGGTAGCTCCTCTCAGTTCCCTAGTGTACAAATCCATCGATTGTCACTAGGGTCTTTTTTCCAGGAGCATTTGATTAAATGACAACAAATCTGTGTGCCGCCTTGATAAAGAAGAGGACGGGCGGGAGGTGACAGTTGCTGCCGAAACAACGCGAAAGTAAAGCTACGGCCCAAGCGAAGATAATTCTTGCCCAGAAAGTTGTGGCGACCGAAGGAAGTTAGATTGAGGCTCGCGACAACAAAGCTGGTACTGTAGGTTAAAAAAAAATTTCTATCGTTGCAACTACGGTGGTCATCCAACAAATTTCTACTGGTAAACTAACTATCATAAACAGAAAACCCTGGACTTATCATAAACCTTATCTACTGCGTGAATCTAAAGAGTCGTCTAGTCTTTTTGAAGAGAGCAATGTTGAAGAAGAGTCCTCTCAGGAAAGAATAAAAGCATGGTCGGCTTCGCCTCATCAAGATGCTACATTCATATGATTTTCTAAACGAAGTGAGGCCAGCCAACCTGCTTCTATCGCCCGAACTGAATCAGTAACCCAGAGGTGACGTCTTAGGAGAGGTGCAACATCAAGAAGGGAAGGACCTGATTTTTGAGTTAACTCTTCACGTCCTCCCTCCTATCAAAAGAAGAGGAAGAGTTCCCCAGTTGACTGGGTTCCTTCTCAGACTAAAGGGGTGAAAATTTGGAATAGCTTCGACGATCGGTACACTCTGCACCTTTTAGGATGTTGATAAGAGATTTTTCTCTTTGGCATGCCCAATGATTGGAGCGATAGGAATCGTGAGGGAGAGCTAGAGAGAGATATATATATAGAGAGAGAGAGAGTGCACACACACTTGTCCCTTAGGGGTGAATGAGATGTTCCAAGCGCTGTGAACTATTTTATATATTATAATTAACAGTTACAAGAGAGAAGGGGAGAGAGTTTCCCTGCAAAGGATGAGTCTAGAGAGAAGAGCTAAAAGCCCTTAATACATGCTATGATTCATTCAATTATAGAAGATAGAGGGACAAAATATAAAATTACATGTTTTCTCTGCTTTAATAGTAATGTTACATTATCTTATTGTTTTTTTTGCGTGCTTGAATCTTCTGGTCGGCAGGTTCTTAGGTCGACCGACTTAGCTAGTTTCGGTCAGCTTTTTATCTGGACACTTGTCGGTCTTTGCTCTGGGAAGTTGGTCGGTTTTGAGTGTGATAGTTGGTTGACTTTAGAGCTTGCCTGATTATTGTTCCTTGGCAATCTTTGTAGATCTTTAGGGAAGCTATTGTGAGAGCTGCACATTGATACTTATGAGATTGTTGGGGTGTTAGTCCTTTGGCCGGTCGTTGGCATTAAGGCCTGCCCTTGGTTGGTCTGGGTGGCCCTTCGGTCGTCAGACCTTCTGTTGGTCGACAGCCCTTCAGTCAGCTAATTATCAGTCGGCTAGTGGTCTTCAGTCTATCTGATTTAAGATGTCTTGTAACTTTTCGTTTGAGGGGATTGTCATCATTTTTCTTTTTGATCTGTATCGTTGCACTTTTTTGTGATTCGTGCTAACTATTTTTAGGTGTATACTCAATTGATTTGTGTGCGTGTGTGTGTTTTTTTTGTGTGAAATGAATCTAATTTTGATTCATGTGTAAGAATTATTGAATAAACAAGTAGATGGTCTTCAAACAAAAACATTTTCTTCATTTAAAAATATATTTTAAAAAAAAGTGCATACTTTTATTCATCGCAGCAGCACAACACGTCGGAAATGATAACGAGAGAAGTCCATCACGAATCCTCAAGTTAAAACACGATCTCCACTCTCATATTTACATTTATTAAAAAAAAAGATGGATTTTGAATGAGGAAGAAACATACCAACAAAACTTGTTAGATTTTGAGAGAGGAGAACCCTTCATGGGTCATGCAGAAATTTATAGCTACGAGTTGTAATCATCTGTAATTAATTTTGTTGGTCGGATCGTCGGGTTAGTTAATTATTTTCTTAATTTAGCTGAAAAAATTTTTTTTGAGCAGTTTTTTAAATATTAATAATGGCATGTGAAGTGTTTAATTAGCCGGTTTAGTAGATAGTGTTAGAAAACTTTCTAATATTTTTTCCCTTTTATTCTTTTTTTCTAAAAATTCAACCAGCATATAGCTTATCAATATGTTCTTATAATATCTATCGACAGGCATTGTCCTTATAGATGTTAAAGATTTTCGAGGGTTCGAAATCAAAACGCCATACTACG